TAGGGTTTAGTGTTTAGGGCCTTTAGGGTTTGGGGTTTAGGGGTTTGGGGTTTGGGGTTTAGGGGTTTGGGGTTTGGGGTTTTGGGGTTTGGGGTTTAGGGTTTGGGGTTTAGGGTCTGGGGCCTTTCGGGTTGAGGGCCTGAGGGCCTTTAGAGTTTAGGGTCTTTAGGGTTTGGGGTTTGGGGTTTAGGGTTTGGGGTTTTGGGTTTGAGGTGATCGGAAAAAAACGGGGAACCCGGAGCAGACGTGCTTGCTTTCCATGATCATTGCGGTCTCTCAACGTCACGATCAGTCCAGCCCCATTTCTAGATTTTCTAGTCGTCCTCATCCACCTCAATTCCACGCGAGCCTGCAAATATTGATCCTCTCACTGTCCTCGCCCTTCCTAACCTCAGCGCCATCCCTCACCCCGCGGCCTGTTCACTTTTATCATCGAAGGCAGACGTTTTGCTACAGACATGTTGTGATGTATGCTACCTAACTAGCTGTGGATTCCAAGACACGGTCGAATCGAGTGGGTCATGGCAAGGAAAGAAACGATGTTGGTACTGTATATTTGTGGATTGGACAGAACTGGCTATGGTCTAAGGCTCAGTTTTCACTTTCTCACTTTGGCTTTGGGTTTAGATTCTTTTGAGCTGCAACGATCTCCGGAAGACGAGAAACTTGTGGTAGCCGTACTGATAGTGCTAGTCGCAGTGCGCTCGCTATTGCAGGGTGATGTTTTGTGAAGGTATCTGAAACAAAGATGAATTCTCGCAGCCGCTCTCAAGCCTCGCGTCGCGCTCCTTCACTTTGCCCGCTCTCCCCGCCCGCAGGCCTGCCCAGAGAACTTCTGTTTGCAATCGGCGTCTCTTATCACGTCGTCACCGGTCAGGCCATGTCCTCCATGTACCAGGCGCGCGCCGCACGCGGGTGATAGCTCTGCGCTTTGAAGCAGCATGTTGGACAGGCGATCCACCAGCTGGCTCCCGTGCGGAGGAGGCAGTCGCCTTTTTGAACGGCTGCCAGCAGCCAGGCGCGGGTCGGCAAACGACCCAGCCCCGCAGGCGCATCTTCGGCCTGCTTCCGAGGCGGCGTGGGGCACGTGGACGGGCTGCATCTGTCGCCCGACGCGATGCCCCACCTGGTGGAGTCGCTGGAGCCCTTCCTGGAGGACGCAAAACCGCCAGTATCCTGTATATCTTCGAATCTATACTCTGTTCCATCGCGAGGATGTCGCTGCCGTGTTCAGCGACTCCTCCCTGTGCTCTGTCTGCGATGTGGGCGGCAACTTCGATCTCGCGCTTACCTCGGAAGTTTCGAGAGACTGAACCGGGCATCGCAACGAGAGTTGACGACACCAGGACCGCCGCGGACAGGTCGCAGCCGCAGCCCTCGGCGCGGTGCCGTTGCATCCCGCCGCCGGCCGAGCACTGCGGGGGATAGGGCAGGAGCTGGCGTGGAAGTTGTCAGTGGGCGACTTCCTGCGGGACAAGTCCAAGATTCTCGTAGTCTGTGCAGGCAGGGCCGGGCCAGTCAGGCAACGAACATTGGGTGACCTGAGCCATGTGCGCTCTCGGAGGCAACGACTTATACGGCTATACGAGTGGACTTGGCCACGCCAGCTCCACGAAGCCGTGGAGGACATGCGCGAGGCAGGTGCAAGACTGATCCCTCAAGCGCACAGGCATGTGCCGAAAAGGGCCATGCTCTCCACCTTCTGGACGCCCGAGAACGACATCCAGAAGGCACGCAAGGCGCAGGACCAGCAGAGTTTGAACGCAACGCAGTGCGTGCGTGCAGGCTGGAGAGGCGGAGAGAGCGTGGTGGGACGACTGGGAGCAGGAGCGCACGCGAGGCGGGAAAGACAAATTTTGATGGAGCGATCCGCGCACCTTTCGTCTGCAGGCCATGCTTCCGGCGGAACCGCAGCGGCGACGCGCGGTGATGCCGGTGATTTTGAAGAAAAAAGCAACATGCGGCGTCAGGTTGCTGACAAGGGATATGAAGAGAAAGATGGGTATGATGACGACTGGCTGTGGTATCATTGTGATTGGGGCCCGCGCTGGTGGCTGCGGTAGTGTGGCGTTCATGAAGAGCCCAGAGAGCCCAATACCCCTTAATTTAGGAATATACCTTAAATCATATTATCAAGGCCCCTATAATTTAAGGTATATTCCTTAATTAAGGGGTACTGGGCTCTCTGGGAGGGTGATGAAGCTCTGGAGGCCTTCGACATGATGAGACTCCAGACGATGTCGATGCCGCTGCTGATGATAGGGTTTAGGGTTTATGTGATGCTTATCCCACTGGCTATTCCCAGTTCTACCGTCGTGCGAGTGTATGCACATGGACGTGTGCAAATGGTTATTTCATTGTTATTTCATGTCTCTTTTCCCTTCTCTTGAGATTCGCTTCATAACCCTCGTTATGATGAGCCTGCCTGCTATTGTGATTCGTGCCTGCTTCTCGTTGTTGGCATGAGACTATAGCAGCATCGACATATTCATTCCGACAATCTAGTCAGAACCTATTGTCGTAGTCATCAACATGACATCCCTGTTGTCACTGTCATCGCATCACCACCAGCGTCATCTTATTCAGCATCTTTGCTAACTTGGTCATGGTACTGGTGCCGGTTACATCGTCTTCGTCATTGCCGTAGTCGGCATGTCGCAACCATGTCACCATCAGTGTTCGGTGCCGGCCAGGCAAAGAGGCTTGCTGCATCCCTGGCCACTTACGTTTCTGTTGCCTTGCTGCAGACATTTAGGATTGCGGGTTTACGGTTTAGGGTTTGGGGTCTATGGCTACTTGGCGCTTTATGCTGATGTTGGTGAACGTTTTCGGAAAGGTTAGTTCAAGGCTCACTAGTAACTAGTATACCGAACCGCTTTCGAGTGGTACAGCAGGCCGCGCAGGAAAATACCGAAAGCTACGAGTGGTGCAGGCCGCACAGGAAATAAAGTTTCATCCACCATCCTTCTCCCCATCTAGTTCATCCAGCCCCATCAACCGTTCTTGCTTGTCAAACTCGGTGTGTAAGAGTATCACCGTATATCCTTTAGGCGGCCACGCTGCTGGGCCAGGGAACGGCTTGGCAGCACGCCGTTGCCTTGCGGCTTGGATGGCTGATCGGGTGAGGGTGGTTTAGGGTTGAGGGTTTAGGGTACCGGGTGCCACCCGAAACTTGTTCATGGCAGTTTTTCGTGCGAGCCATTTGCAATGTTGTACCTGTAGACTCTGCACGGCTTAGCCCCAGAATGGGCCGACTCTTGGTTTAGCTTTAGGGTTTACGGTTCTTGTCTGTGCGTGTCAGCAAGGCTGGACGCTTGTCTACTTGCCCGGGTCTCAGTTGTGGTGCATCTCCAGACAACAGGTTCAGTCAGTTTAAGGTCAGGGTGCCAGCCAACCCAGAGCTGAAGACCTAAACCCTTAGACTCTGCGTCAGCTGTCGGCCTTACAGGAAGAAAGAAAAAGAGGCGGTTAAAGCATGAGCTGCATGATGTCCTTCACCGGCCGTTGTTCTCGCCCCGATTTCTTCAACCCAAGGGGCTTCGGTTGAGAAAAAATGCGTCCTGGCTCTTCCGATGTCGGAAGCGTGAAGGGGGCACCACAATGCGGCTTCTCATTCATACCGTAGCATTAAACCCTCAACCCTGAACCCTAAACCCCTAAACCCCTAAACCCTAAACCCCTAAACCCCTAGCATCCGAGTCGGTTTTGACAGTCTGAAGCCCTCAGTCTGGACTGGAGCCGAACGTGGCGTTGCGGTCCTCCTTGCTCAGCTCCTCCTCGAAGGTGGGGGCTTCCGCAAGGGTTTTTGGCTTAGAGTTTTAGGGTTTCGGGTTTTTAGGGTTTAGGGTTTAGGGTTTAGGGTTTAGGGGTTTAGGGTTTAGGGTTTTGGGGTTTAGGGTTTAGGGTTTTAGGGTTTAGGGTTTAGGGGCCTCCGTAAGGCCCCTAAAGCCCTAAAACCCGAAACCCCCAAAGGGGTTCTGGAGGGTTTTGGGTTGAGGGTTTGTGCGATTTAGGTCTTAGGGTGAAGCGGTTCTTAAAGAGAAGGTTCAGGGTTTGGGTTTCGGAAACTCGGCGCCGGGTTTAAGGGTTCGGGCTCAGAGGTTCAGAGGTCTAGAGTGTGGGAAGGGTCCCAGAGACTCCAATATCCCTTAATTAAGGAATATACCTTCAATCTTATTAGGGATCCCATTATAATTTAAGGGTATTTTCCTTAATTAAGGGATATTGGAGTCTCTGGGGTTGGTGGGGCTGAGGGTCGGTGGACTGGCACAGTTCAAGAAACCCCTAAATCTTAAACCCTAAACCCTAAACCCCTAAACCCTAAACCTTAAACCCCTAAACCCTAAACCCTAAACCGTGGCTTTTTGTAGCTGGCTTCCCCTGTTGAACCCTGCTGTTCAGATGGAGCCCTCGAGAGTGGCACGTGCAGATCTAGGGTCTCGGAGCTTTGGGCTTTAGGGTTTAGGGTTTAGGGCTCCGACATTCCAGTAAGATGAGACAAAAAGCCACAAAAGCCCCTAAACCCTAAAACCCTCAGCCCTCCACCCTCAACCCCTGAACCTTGAGAAACCCTCTCCTGCCTTACTGCCCCCAAGCCCGCAAACCCGCTCCTGCCTTGTATTATTCTTATCATGACTATCATTATTTTTTTAATCATTATTGATTTTATGGTTATTATTGTAACAGATCCGCTCTTCGCCGGTGAAGCATTCCGACAGGTCCTTCGTTGGGCGCAGTCTCTCCTTATCTTCGCGGAGGTGGATGCAAGCCAGGCCGTGGGGCTCGGGTGTCACTTTAGGTTTGCCACGGTTTGGGGTTTGGGGCTTAGGGTTTAGGGTTGGTTTAGGGGTTTGGGGTTTAGGGGGGTTGGTTTAGGGTTTAGGGTTTAGGTTTGCGACGGTTTAGGCTTTGCGGTTTAGGGTTTAGCGTTGGTTTAGGATTTAGGTTAGCGACGGTTTAGGGTTTGGGGTTTAGGGTTTAGCGTTGGTTTAGGGTTTAGCGTTTAGGTTTACGACGGTTTAGGCTTTGGGGCTTAGGCGAGGTGTGTTACTACAAATGTTACGAGGGTCACTGCCAAAAGAGTCACCCAAGAAACCTTTAAACCCTAAACCCTAAAACCCTAAACCCTAAACCCTAAACCCTAAACCGACTACTAGAGCTGCTATATTGAAGGGCTGCTTGTAATGATTACGGCTCGAGGGCTTTCAGGTTCGCTTCAGGGTTGAAGGTTTCGAGCGGCTTGAAGCTAGAGCAATATTGCATACTTTTTATATGAACTATCATATACTTTACAGTTATATATATGTATAGAGTACATCTACTATATTATAACATAGAGGATCGGATCCGGGCTTACACTTGAGGTCTTCGAAGCTGTGAGCCTTCCCTTATGCCCCAAACTCTCAACCTGAGTACCCCTAAGCCCCACAAAAGCAAAGGAACGTATGGTTTGTTATATATCATCGTATAGTATCCAAGACCCGGAACCGAGGCCCAGACGCAAGAATGCACCCCGAGCCCTAAACCCTAAAGCCTAACCCTAAACCCTAAAGCCTAAACCCCTAAACCCTAAAGCCTAAAGCCTAAACCCTAAACGCCTAAAGCCTAAACCCTAAACCCTAAACCCAAGACCAGGCCGACGACCGCTGCCAGGCCGGCATTCTGCTGGCACTCCCCGGGCGCTGGCCGCGGGCTCTGAGCTTCCTGGCGAGCACCGGAGGTTTTATGGTATTTAGGGTTTAGGGTTTAGGGTTCTAGGGGATTTATGGTATTTAGGGTTTTTTTGGGATATTTAGGACCTACCTTTGGTTCGTAGGGAATGGAAGAATGGTAGTAATGGTACTTATAATAGTTCCCATTCCTCCATTCCCTACTAACCAAGGTAAGAGAAACGTAGAAAGAATTGCTTTGGTCGTTGTGTATTGTGAGTAATCACTTCTATCTGTATTCTCATATCATTATCGAGTTTAGGGTTAAGCGTTACTTTAGGGCTGAGGGTTTAGGCTGTGCGACCGGTTCTTGCAGGTTTTCGGTCCGCCTTTTTGCTCTGCAGAGTTCCATGGCGCTGAGACCCTGAACGTAGGCCTTTTTCATTGTGCCCCTGAAATTCTTGATTCCTTCTGGACGTGTGTTGGGCCTTCATCCTTAACCGCCTTAACCCGCAAACCCTCCAGCATGGAAGAGTTCTAACAACATCAATCAAGTCACGTCTTTGCCGCCGGCACTTCTGCAAACGACTGCCCAATGCCTCCAAGATTTTCCATAATACTTTGAGCCATGAATGATACTGTCGCTGCCACAAGACTCGATATAGGATGTGAGGATCCGGCAGAAAGCATTCCTTAATCAGGGTCTTTGGTAAATCCATCCTAGAACCCAAAGCCTTAGACCCTAAACCCTAACGCCCTAAATCGTGAACCTCGCACGGCTGGTAAGGGGTCTCTTATGTTCTGAATAAATAGTGACAGGATTCCTTAAGTTCGGTGCTGCAGACATAGCGTAATCTACTCCCAAACCTGTTCTGATTCGTGAGGCCCTATAACTATCCATCTATCTATCTATCTATCTATCTACCTATCTATTTATATATCTATATATCTAAATATCTTATATATATATATGTATATGTATATATATATATAATATGTATGTATATATATATAATATACATATATATATATATGCGCATACATACATAAAAAAACTGTATACATAACTCTATATATAAATATATGTGTAGCTATATCTATCCATCTATCTATCTATCTATCTATCTGTCTATCTATCTATCTATCTATCTCTCTCTCTCTATCTCTGTATCTATATCTATATCTATATCTATATCTATATCTATATCTATATCGATATCGATATCGATATCGATATCGATATCGATATCGATATCGATATCGATATCTATATCTGTATCTATATCTATATCTATATCTATATCTGTATCTATATCTATATCTATATCTATATCTATATCTATATCTATATCTATATATATATATATCTCTATCTATCTTCTTATCTATATATCTATATATA